GTGTATGCATCTTAGTGCTGCCACGCTGTTCTTCCTTGTAGTGTTGAAGAGGTTTACCCAAGATACTGTTTTCTAAGGGCTAAAAGGAACTCATACACTTGCCAATATATATTTTTAATTGCATACGCTGATAATGCAAGCATCTTTTTAATCAAATGCTTTTGCATGTGATGCTAAATGTAGTCAAAGTTTTGTTTAAATGATCTTCAGGCTTTAAAGTAAAAGTCCAGTCATATTTGGAATTCGACTTCTGAAAGTACTTTAAATATGAAATTACTATATGCAGTAAATGAAAATTGGTTTTAATTGTGAATAATTTCATTTGAACGTGCTTTACCAGAGACATCCATGCTTGTCAAAGAACACTACTGCCACCTACCGGTTTGTGACGTCACGGTGCAGTATTGGCTCTTGAGCAAGTCCCAGTGCTGTATCTGGAGTTTGTCAAAATGTGCTATTATCCAATCCATCTTGAAAACATTCTTCTTTGAAATGTTGGCTACATATTACATGTTTTTTTCTCTGGGGAGAAGCTTGATGGCCTTGCTCTTAGCATGAATCCGTCCGTGGAGGATCCTGAATCGGACAGGTAGAATAACTAATTCTTTAACTAATAATAACTTAAACTAAAAATAACTAATTCACTGTTACCTGATGTATTGCAATATCCAACTCCCATGCACATAGGCATAACTTTAGCTCTGGCGAATTTCAATGGTGAACTCCTCTCGAAATCTTAAATAATTTTTGTTGATTGCAGATATGTCTAGTAGTTCCCATTGGGCTTACGGCACAGTGACGACACTGCCAGAAGATGTTAGGAGTGAGGTGTTACTATATTTGGGCAAAAATGGCTGGTCCCAGACTTAGTGATCGCAACATAAATTATTATTTTCATTTTTTTTTACTGATTAATGCTAAATTTATTAAATCACTTTGAACATATTAGTTTAGGTGTGGATAATGATCTGTTGATTATTCCTTGCTGACCGGACTTTCCCTTTAATATAAGCCACATGCCTCACCAAATTTTCACTTGTGAAAGAAAATAAAATATACATATGAAAGTCTATCATTGCTAGTTTTTAATTAGGGGTGAGTTTCTTCAAGTATGCTTTTCATACACCACAGTTTTAAACTAGATTAATAGAGGGGGGAAAAAACAACACAAATTCACTGTTATTGTAATTTGTATTTTGAATAAATTGAAATTAAATGGTGAATCTTTATAACCTTTTCCTAGGACACCACGCCTTGCAGTTGCCTAATTCAACTTAGATTAACTTAACTTCATTTGTTCTTTGTATGTGCAGTTAAAAATTAATTAACCACAAATCATTTACTTAAACAGAAACTATTTTGATTTGTTGTTTATGCTGCTGCTCAAATCTAAGTTCATATTGCATGCGTCAATTTAACCCAGTTCTATTTCCCAGCGCTGGTGTTTATGCCCAGGGCAACACAAGAAAATCAGTACGACTTTCTTTGAGAAAATAGGGAGTACTTTAAACATATTTAGATGCATTCATGTATTTTGCTGGGCTACATCATTTGAGTAATGGATATTTCCAGGTATGAGAGCTCAATATTCTAACATTTGCAAATAAAAAGTGTAATTTTTACCATCTTCTGTGATTGCCAATGATTAGAAAGCAGGTAAGTGGTATTTCTTGGTCATGTTGGTTTGGCAGTGGTTGGCTGTTTTGTAACTATTCTCCACAGTGGTATGAACAAAAGACCTATGTAACCTCACAGTAATCATTTTAACAGCCCTTGCCGTAATTAAAATGTCACATCCACTGTAGCGAAATACAACAGAGTTCCCAGCAAATTAAAACAGAATTATGCTGGCAGATGTGGACTTAATGGCCTAATCATCTCTTTACATTCCTCCCATTACAGAGAAATAGTTTTAAAATATCCTATCCATGATGGGTGTGCAGACGAAAAAAAAAAATATTACTTAAAAGGAAAAACTCGAACATTTATGATATATATGATTATAATGGGATTATATCCAAATAAATAAACATAATTTTGGTTCTAAGTGCATCATAGGTTTTTCTTTTTCATTCAGTTCCACCCACACAGGAAGACAAATTAGCTAATTGTTGAAAACTAATGTAAGGTACCAGCAGCAAATGCATTAAGTGTTTTCAGCTGATGGAATAGACGTTGATACATCAGAGGGGTTGATCTAATGCACACTATTGTTGCTTACTCAAAAGAACTTTAGAAAAAAAAGGAAAGAAGCTGCAACTTCAGAGTTTTTATTAGGAACACAATTTCATTTCTTTTAACAGTAAATAAAGGACATGAACCCTGACATTTTTTGTATATACCGAAAAAGACAGCATACAGTAGAATGAATCAGACCTCAATATTTGTTGATGTCACAATGTTCAGGTTCTACTACTGACATTTTTTACCTTTATTACACTGTAGCAGTAAAGCTGGTCTTAGGTTAAATACCTTCAGATAACATAGTTCTACCAAAATTATTATAAAACTGCTCATAAGCTTTTGTTGCTCCACACCCATCCGATAAATATTTGTATACAATATTGAATATTGTTGGGATTAAAATGCACAATTGCTTTCCAGACTGAGACTTCTTAACATTCTTAAAATGAGAGTGATAAAGGACATCCTGAGAGCCCCTACCAAAGCTGGCATAAAGCCTGTCTACCCACAGCCCTCCTCTTTACATATGGAGAAAGGCAGAGGAGGCCTAATTAGGGGAAGATCATGTGAATGAGAGGCCTAGAACCAGAGACCACCTTCAAAAAGGACCAAATTCAATGAACTCTGCTTAAAGTTAATTTAAACCTGCAGCCTACTATTTTGTTTTTCTTTGTATGCCATTTTGTTCTTTATATGGTGTACACTGGTTTACTGTGGCTGCCCCAGACCCAGTTGCTGGATCTCTTTGTGTTCTTACTTTGGCCTCATCCTAACCAAGAATATATGAGCTGGAAAAGCACTAAACCATCAAATCAATCAAAAGAGGGACAAGCTAATAATTATTTATCCGTACCCATCCTATCCTGTAACACTGTGGATTACATGTTATTCGATCAAAATGTATATTTTCACTCACCCCAATATGTTGATAAAAATAATTTCCTAAAAAAAAGAAAAAATTATATATATGCAGCTTTTGAATACTATTAAATATGATACATAATACTAAAACTGGGGGGGAAAATAAGAGAACACTAATGCAATAACTTCTCTGGGCCCACTGTGTGTGAATTTTTGAAAATAAAATGAAACGTATGATGGTGTTATGGAGTATTATGTAGTATTATAACACAATTTTACAAATTTTAAAGCATTTTATTTTATAGAAAGTCTTAAAATAGCATGTATATTTGCATTTTGTATGTTTAAACTGGCCACAGGAACAAACACTGTACATATTTCACACTAAACTTTGTTTTATCCATTTGATTTCAAACATCTGGACTGCAACGTCTAGCTGAATAAGGATAAAACAAAGTTTCCTTCCTTGCCTAATTTCACAAGTTCCTGCATGAGATTTCTATGTGCTACATTGGATAGTTCCACCTAGAGTGTGTTTATCTTTCCCATCCACCACTACAACATTTTCCCCTGAAAGTGTAATGCTGAGAATGAATGCAGAGAGACCAAATTAAAGGACCCAATTTGAAGCGGCACCACTTCACTGATAAGCTGTACCAGTGATCTGTGAGAGCACTCAGGGTCTGCTACATTATGACAATACAGAGGAATAAAGCAGATGAAAGAGAATAGTCTGGCAGGAGCAGAAATCAGATGGGCAGGGGGAGAGGAAAACAATCTAAAGTCTAATTGTGTTATGCCTCAAGGCAGCAAGGGGGTAGAGAGAGACACATTTTCTTTCTACACAGTGTTCAGCACAGTCCCTTTCCCGCCATGATTGCCTTAATTTCCAGCCTGGTTGCTTTTTTTTCTCTCCCTTTCTATTGGTGCATTTATTGAAAAGGGTGGTTTAAAAAGCAAATGCTGGAAACTTGGCAAGAGTCGAGGTTTTCATCCTAACCATATACCATAGCTGTGGCATTCTAAATGTGTGTGGTGCATTTATCCATGTGGTCTTGATGGATATGACACCTTACAGGTCATGCTATGTCATCTTTGTCAGTGGGGAAAAATGTTATAGCTTGAAAGCATTCAGAAACAACATTGAAGTGAAACACAAAGTCATATGTATGAAGATGCAAACTCAACAAAAACATTTTTTAAAATACCATGTACCATACCATACCATATTAGGTATTAAACATAACTTTTATAAAAGCCAAATTTCTGTATTAAATTTGTGTTCACTTAATGAACTGAGCTATTGAAATCAATCCATCACATTATGTTTTATTACATGTGACTCTTTTTTTTTTCTACTTTCTGACATTAACAGTGAGAATATTTGGAGAAGTCATGATGACACTTTGAAATCTGGGAAAGCTGTACCAACCAAGTACAGGCATAGTAGTGGCAACATAATGATGAGGATTTGTTACATTGCCAGTCGTGCTGCTAAGATGTTTGCAGTATAACACATAATACTAAGCAGAAAGTTATCAAACATATTTTTCTTTTCAGTAACATTATATTTTTTTATCCCATTGTTTCATATGGATTTTTTTTAGGATAATCACACATTACAACAAAACATAAAACCCTTTAATCAATTTAGATGAGTAAAATTAGAAAATCCAGACTTTTCATCTTTAAATTTATTCTCAGCTTTTTATGACAAATCCATGAGCTAAAAAGTGTGGTGTAGTTCATGTAAAAAAAAAAAAAAAAAGGAAAGAAAGAAAGATCAAATCGATAAAATGTGTCTGAGAATTGTGATCTGTAGGCTGACTGTCAAAGAAAGAAACAACTTTAGGATAATTTGACTTTTACTTGGATAACTGTGTATTTCTGTTTTCACTTTGCTGTGAATGAAAGGATTAACACAATTAAAGGACAATGAAATATCCTCAACATACCCGCTGGCCGACGTTCGTACACTTTTACAGAACCAAAGGAGTCCTTTAGAAAATCCCCGGTGTGACTCTATTCACAGGTCACTTACTCCCAAGCCTGAAAGAAAACAAAAGAAACACAAATCAGGGAAGACATGAAGAGTGAACTCACAATTTTAACTGACTCAGCCACAGCAAATGCCCAGCCATCCAGGATAAACATCCTTGAAGAAATGTCAGTCCAAGGAAGCACATTAGCTAACCCACACCAAGGCAGTCTCAATGAAAAAAAAAAAATCCATCTGACATATGTATAGTATCTTTCTCCTTGGCTGGTCAACTTGATCATTTCTCTTGCTAAACAGTTGCTGCTGAATGTCTCATTACACCATCATTTCAGCCAGAGAAGGCATGTGATCAGACAGGCCATCAGTTGTGTAATGCGGTCTCAACCACTAGTTGTGATTTCTTGAATCAAAATTCTTTAGAGCATCAGCAGGAGTTTTAAGGTAGAATAATTAGACATAGAAAAACGTCATTGTCGTTTAATATGCACAGAATGTATACAAAATGAAATATTGTTGCATACAGCTTACAACAATGTAATGATATTGCAGTTGAAGTATATAAACATTACCAATACAAAGTGTAGCAGTGATCAGAATATTAAAGGCTAGCTAAAATGTAATTATGAAAGATTTGAGCAACTGTAATTTAATGACAAAAAAGGTTTACTTGCTGTAATCTACCATCATCATGCAAGATATTTGTTAATTGATTTAATTTTATTTGTCAGTGCAATACTATTTTGGATGTTCAGGGAATTAGCTAATTTAATATTTTGAAATAATTCTACTAAAAAAATGTAAAGTCAGTCTTTGGCCTAGTGACATAATTTGGAGCAGAAGGTATACAGGGAAGTCCGTTACTAAGTAGGTCTTTATAGTATATAGCTGTTAATAGAGTCTGGTTAAGAGGACAGAAATAACAGAGGATCTACAGAAAGAGCAGGGAAATTTAGAATTAAGTCAAATGAGGAACCATCAAAGGGGGAAAGAGGTGTTATACAAGAAGGTCCATCCGCACTTCAGTTCTCTAAAGCACCTTTATCCTGTTCAAGGGCACATGGAGGGTGACTCTGATAACTGTCCTATAGAATGAGACTGAGGGTGAGGGAGGGGGGAGGATAACTACAATCAGACAGAAACCTGTGCTCAAACACAGTCTCAGAGAGTAATTTGGAGGTTAAAACCCAACTGATTGTTGCTGGACTGTTGGAGAGAATCCTAGGTGTACAAGACAACTGTAATACAAAGTGTTAACTCTGCATAGAAATGTTCTAGCCAAGACTGAGAGTCATAGCGTTTTGCGATGAAATGACAGTGCTACTTACTGCACCCCCGAGCCCCCAAAGGAACAATAAAACTGTGAGACTAAGCTACTAAGGAAACCTTTTTAATCAGGAAGTTTAGCTGATCAAAGTGCTGCAAGATGGGTCACAATTTTTAAAAAACAGTCTGAGTGAAATGATACTGGAGATGAAAATGGAGTTTAGCAGTTTTGTCTTTCCAAATAATTTCACTCACTAAGCCAAACTAAATCTACTTAAAGAGGTCACAGCTTGACACTGATGGATGATTTTCACAGACTTACAATCCAAACGACTTAGTTATTGGACCCACATCAACAGAAGTTAGGAGAGTATCTCGCCTTTTACGTGAAGTTAAAAGCCCTTCTATCTCCATCCCACCCAGTGAACAGCCTAATCCACTGGTGGAGGATTTGTGAGCCAGAGTACAGAGTAATTGTGCTGTGGCACAATGAGTGCAGCCTAATTGGAGCAAAGACTTAATGAGGGGCCTGTGAGGATTATCATCTGTGGCCTAGAAAGGCCCAGGTAGAGAGTCAAAATGATGAGAGCTGATCATCCCAAAACAAAGTGACAGAACTTTGAGGTTTTACCATTTTCTGTAAAATCCAGCCTTAATGCATTTTTCAAGCAGCTCCCTGGAGATAACTTTGCTGATATAATATAACCTCCGTGTAATATTAATCTGCAGGTACAACAGCATTTCGATGCTGCTAGATAAAATAATGGTGCATTTATCTACCTTATCATTTTGGATTGAGGCGCAGGTAGTCTTTGCTTGCATAAAATAATTAATACATTGACACACATTTAGTTTTTACTATTATTCTTAAGATATATAAAAAAACACACCTTAATGAACTGCTAACCTAACCAAGGTATGCTCCATTTTTTTTCTTTTGACTTCCATTTTTTAAATACTGGTCAAAAATCAGTTTATTACCCTTAAGTACAGCAGTACCAAATCAATGCTATGTTGTTGAATATAATCCCCATAAAACTCCAGATGTTCTACGGTGTTGGTTTATTGTTATTAGCATAATTTCAGATGTACTTTTTCATTTTTATTTTTTTACTCCAAAAAATGACCCACACATGTGGTGACTGAACGAACAATCAGGAGGTAAGTCTTTAATGGATGTTCCTAGTAGAAATGTCATGTCAGAGAAAGAATAGCAGAAGGCCATGTACGTACAAGTGCTCAGCTCAAGCACCGGAGGAGAGTGGGACCAATATTGAGCAGGATGAGGGCTGCAGCAGCAGAAGTGAGGCAGAAGTAGAAGCCTCAGCAGTAGTGGCATTTTGGCAGGAAAAGGCAAGGGACCTCAGGGAGTAGGCAGAGTCCAGGATTCTGTCCTCTGACTATGACAACTTTATGAATCATTCTTACACCCAATTTAATTCAAAAAGCATGAGTGGTGCCATCCTTTTCCACCTCATGGTTATGAGGCCCTAAAAGGGCTTGGAGTTTACCACATTCCCATGAAGCAAGCAGGGCTGGGGTTCTTGGATATTAAGTCATCTTAATGTTGGCTTTAGCTATTTTATATATTTAATTAAGTTCAACTGGGCCAACAGGCTGCATGGTGGCACAGTTTGTAAGTATATTGCCTTGCAGCAAGCTCCCTGGCCATTTGCAGGGTGTTTCTGCCTTGAGTTTTTATGTTCAACTTGTACATGCGTGAGTTTTCTTCAGGTACCCTGACTTAATTCCCACTATCCAAAGAACCAGCTGTTAACTCAATTAGCATCTTTAAAAAAATGCTGTTACGGGTCAGTGGTTTTATGTCTGTGATGACTTCATGGTCTGTGCAGGGCGAACCCTGCCTTTCACCCTTAGTTTGTGGGAACAGGCAACAGCCCCCCTTTTACCATAAGAAAAGGTGGCAGAAAATGAAATGACCATTTTGTTTAATCCACTTAAGAAAAACCATTGATGGATATTCTACAAGTACATAGATGACATAGATGTAGAAGAAGTTTCTGCTATCAGATAAGATGAAACCTGAACCAATTGACCAATATGCAAAGTTCTCTGTGTGGGAGGAACCTATCACTGCTTGTAGCCCTCAGTATATCACTCCCACAGTAATGCATAGCGATGAGAATCTGGTCCGACTTACAGTGAAGATAAATTGAGCTGACTTTAAGACATTGAACCAGAACACTTTCAAACATACAAAGACATTATTTCTAGGGAATAGTTTAGGTCTAAGAATGTCTGTGGATGGCCCAGAGAAAAAATAAAGCTTCTAAAAGTTTAATCTCAATGTTCATGGATGCTCTCCATTGAAATTAGAATATTTTTTAAACAATTTTTATAAAAGGAAAATGAGTCAAAATTAGGTTATTGCAGATGTTGATGACATCCTAAGAAGGTAGCCACACCTTCTAAATTAGGTTTCGTCAGTGGTTATAAATGGTGTGAGACAGTGGCTTCCAAGGAACTGGATAGCAAATCTCTATACGAGAGGGAGTTTAGTACAAATGCACAGCACACTTTACAAAATTTGATTGTAAGAGAAACTAGTTTGCAATACTCTGCATCTTGGTGTTCGTTAATCCTATTGAGGACTCGAAAGAATGTTTATATATATACATATAAAAAGACGAAAAAAACAACAGCAAAAAACATAAATGAATAAAACAAAGGAAGATGTATTTTTACATCGTATTGTGCACATACAATAGTGCCAAACAACTGGGTGATTATGACATTCATAAAAACATTTTTTTCATTTTAACCAATTTATTGATCAAACATCCCACATCCCAAGGAAAATCCCACAAATGCCTGATCCATGCTTGTTAAGAAGAACTGTGGACCCTTCAATGTCTCTCCAAACTGTTTATTTCTCCGAGGAGCCTGTTTGCTCTTGACAGCCACAGATCAGATATGACTGACCAAGATAAATGGTTAGGCTCTAAAGTCAGATCAATTCAATCTAGCAACTGTCTTCGCCAGGAACAAAAAGGCCATGCTGTCAACAAGGCTTAACTCACTTTAGTGTTCTTTTGCTGTCTTTTTGTCCTTGTTACATAAACATAAGAAACTGTGAATTTCCTTATGTTTAAAACCAAACATAAAAAAACATTCTTTGTATGAAATCATACTAAAACCCCTCTGTTGTCTTTTTACCTTATATCTGAATTTCTTTTTATATATATATATTTTATTTACAAGACATCTTTCTTCCACTGACTTCGTATCATAGTTCAGTTTATAATATTTTAGGGTTAGAGTGCAGCCAAGACACCATGCAGGTCATCAATAGGCACAGAGTTATTCATCCTGAAGTAGCACATTTATCGTGTGGGAAGCACAAAAGAGCTGTTTGTGCATATAATTCAAGCAATGACCCAAATGTGCCAAAGGAAGCTTTCAAGCTCATCAGCATTGATCCAAAATTCCATTATATTGCATCTACATTAAGGAGTACTGATGGTAATAATTTCTGGTTCTGCTTTTAACTGGATTTACCAATAATTTCATTGTCAGACTTTGGATAAAAATGAATTGTCTTTGTGAAGGCATAGACATAAAAGTAAATCTGCAATGTTATAATAATTTTTAACTGTGAGCGCATTGCTTTTCAGAGTCTACAGCTCACAAGGGCGCTGTTAGATTTAGTAACCATGTGCCTGCCAATTTTGAAACACTAAAAAAGGGATGGAAACCATGCGAGATACAGGACCTATTTATAAGCAGCAGAATAATCCATTGAGGAATGACGATAAAACTCTGGTGA